CATTTTTATAGTACAAGAAAGTTCCTGGTTCCAGGGAACTCAAGGTTAGGAATTAACAGTGAAGAAGAAAGCGAACAAATGGCATGCCTATTAGAAGGCAGCCAAAGACTGTAAAGTGAGAAGACCCGCTTCAGGCTGGTGCATACTGAGATGTCAAGTGGGTTTGAGGCTAACTTCTGTGCATGGGCTCTGCTCAGTGGTCAGGTGTAAGACTGCCAAAAAGTAAGAAAATCTCTCTGAAGGCAATTCTCCTCACCTCCCAATGCGATGGACAAGGGCTCATTAGGACACAAAGACACAGAGCTCCAGAGAGTGGAACAGAGAGGCCAGAAGAAACCCAGCCTTCACACAAAGCTTTGCTTGGAAATTAGAGGAAGGGGTTAACACTGATCTGTACAGACCACAGAAGCAAGAGAGACAATGATTTAGTATCCAGAAGACATAAGGAACAACAGTATATCACAAAGAAAAATATAACCCATTAGCAAATGATCAACAGACATGAACAGATAAATCACAGGAAAAAACCCTCAAATGTGTGACTATGAGAAAAGAGTCTCGACATTACTGATAATCTAAAGACACACAGGCAGACAGATATTGATAGGATGGTATAGGAAGTAAAGAACACTGAACACGTATGCTTCAGTGAGCAACTTGCCAGTATCTCATAAAACTGAAACTATACATGTCCCACTTCTCAAATATTCCTCTTCTGGGAAAACTCCTAGGGGAAATCTTACCCAGGTTAGCAGGAGCTGTTTGTCAAAGATGTTTACTGCAGCCTTATTTTCGCAGAATCAAATCTGAAAATAACCTGAATGCCTGCCAGTTGGGGGTAAAAGATAACACACTGTCCCATCTTGTTTAATCTAAAATACTTAAAAATGATTAACTACATCTAATTATATCCGTAAATAACTTGTAAAGTCTATACAAAACTACATACTCATGTTATACTGTGTTATATGTATTGCTTGTAGACACATATTTGTTAGCATAAACTCCAAAATGGACTAGAAAGTCTGGTTCCAGATAAGATGTAGTACACACACCACTCTCTAGCTTCTACTGAACATAGCTTGAAATGCTGAACAGAATACATGGAGCAGCCATGAGAGGCCTCAGAAAGTAAACAGCAGCAGGCAGATTGGGGAGAAGGCCAGAAGTGTAACCACCAAACCAGCAGTGAGTCTGCAACTCAGCACCCCCAAACCCAGGAGTAGCACTGATCCGCACAGGGAAGAGTACCCAGACTATAGTTCAGATTCACGGAATAGAAAAGGGGTCTCCTTGCAATTACCATGCTGGCAGTGGGGACCCTCAGGCAACTCAAACTCTCTGGGAAGGAAATCATCCTCACCAGTGGGAGGACCGTGATCCTCTGAACTCCTGCTGCTTGGCCCTAGATGTGACACATCAAGACATACCATATTTTCCGATGTATAAGATGACTTTTGAAACGAAAAAAGGTCAACCGAAAATCGGGGGTCGTCTTATACACCGAGTATATCCCAAAAATAGGTGAAAATAGGCCTAAACCTATGTTTTAACTGTAAAATTAGGGGGTCTCATACGCCCGGTCGTCTTTTCGGTTGACTTTTTTTCGTTTCAAAAGACGTCTTATACACCGGAAAATACGGTATAAACCCCAGCATTTCAGATATATGACAAGGGGAGCCCTTGGGAACCAACAAGTACCAGGAATATGTGAAGAGCTAAAGCTCAGGAAAATGACCTCACAAGGTTGTTATTAATTCCTGGCCTCACTCCAAGCTATGCATGCATTGATCTGATCATAAACGGCATATCCAACATTCTAAGTAAAATATCAACTATTATCCAGGTCTCACACTGGCCACAGGTGGTACATAAGAGGGTCAGACCCAATAGCACTGTAAAGGCTTTTTAAAAATGGAACTGACATTGAAACACAACACAGAGAAGGCTAGTCAGAACTTACAACCTGAACCCAACCAGGTTGACTGCCTGATAAAACAAAACATCAACATTTTCCATATGATTTATTTATTTTTAAAATATTTTTATTGATTTCAGAGAGGAAGAGGGAGAGAGAGATGGAAACATCAATAATGAGAGAGAGTCATTGATTAGCTGCCTTCTGCACACCCGATACTGGGGATCGAGCCCACAACCCAGGCATATGCCCTGACCAGGAATTAAACCATGATCTCCTGGTTCATAGATCGATGCTCAACCACTGAGCCATGCTGGCTGGGCAACATTTTCCATAGGATTTAAATAAAACCCCAGTTCTTAAAACATAATATTCAAATGTCCAAGAGGCAACCCAAAATTACTCAGCATATGAAGAAACAGGAAAAATAGCAACTCAGGCTGCAAAAAAACAACCAAGAGACATCAAGGCTAAAGAACTGGAAGAATATACCATGCTCATGGATTGATAGAATCATCATCATTAAAATGTCTATACTACCCAAAACAATCAATAGATTCAATGCAATTCCCATTAAAATACCAATGGCATATTTCACAGACCTAGAACAACTCTCCAAAATTTCATATGGAATAAAAAAAAAAAAGACCCCAAATAGCCGCAGCAAACCTGAGAAAGACGAACAAAGTTGGAGAGGTCACAATACCAGATATCAAGCTATATTACAAAGCCACTGTTCTCAAGACTGCCTAGTACTGGCCCAAGAACAGATATATAGACTAATGGAACAAAGAGAACCCAGAAATTGACCCAAGCCATTATGCTCAAAGGAGGCAAGAGCATACAATGGAGTCAAGGCAGTCTCTTCAGTAAATGGTATTGGGAAATTAGACAGATATATGCAAAAAAAAATGAAACTAAACCATCAACTTACACCCTACACAAAAATAAACTCAAAATGGATAAAGGACTTAAACATAAGACATCAACCATAAAAGTCTTAGAAGGATTTATAGGCAGCAAAATATAAGATATATGTCATAGCAATATCTTTACTGATACAGCTCCCAGGAAAATGGAAACTAAGAAGAAAATAAACAAATGGGACTACATCAAAATAAAAAGCTTTGGCACAGCAAAAGAAACCATCAACAAAACAACAAGAAAGCCAACGGCATGGAAGAATGTATTTGCCAATTTTATCTTCAATAAGGGTTTAATCTCTAAAATTTATATGGAACTCATATAAAGATAAATAAGCCAATCAAAAAAGGACCTATGTAAACACTTTTCAAAAGAGGACATACAGAAGGCCAAGAGACATAAAAACATACTCAGTCACTAATCATCTGAGAGATGCAAATCAAACAACAATTCGGTACCATCTCACACCTGTCAGAATGGCTATTATCAATAAATCAACCAATGACAAGTGCTGACGAAGAAGTAGAGAAAAAAGAACCCTCGTGAACTGCTGGTGGGAATGCAGATGGTGCAGCCACTGTGAAAAACAGTATGGAATTTCCTCAAAAAATTAAAAATGGAACTCCCATTTGACCCAGTGATCCCACTTCTAGAAATATATCTCAAGAAAACAGAAACACCAATCAGAAAGGATATATGCACCCCTGTGTTCATAGCAGCACAATTTACAATAGCTAAGATCTGGAAATAGCCTAGGTGCCCATCAGCAGAGGAGTGGATTAAAAAACAGTGGTACATCTTCACAATGGAATACTATGCTGCTGTAAAAAAAGGAACTCTTACCATTTGTGACAGCATGGATGGACCTGGAGAGCATTATGCTAAGCGAAATAAGCCAGTTGGAGAAAGATAAATATCATATGATATCACTCATTTGTGGAATATAATGAACAACATAAACTGATGAACAAAAATAGATCCAGAAGCATCAAACAGACTGTCCAACCTCAGAAGGAAGGCAGGGGAGGGAAGGGGGGTGAGAGATCAACCAAAGGACTTATATGCATGCATATAAGCATAACCCATGGACACAGACAGTAGAGGGGTAAGGGCATGTGCTGGGAGGTGGGAATGGCTGGGGAGAGGTCAATGGGGGGAAAAGGAGACATATGTAATACTTTAAACAATAAACAATTTAAATTAAAAAAATAGAGAGAGACATCAAGGCTAAGATGACACAGATGTTAGAAATACTATAATTGACAAAGACTTTAAAGCAGCTATTATTTTTTTTTAAAGGCTCCAAGAAGAAATGCAACTCTAGAAATGAATGGTGTGACAGACAGAATCTTACAGCAGTCCACAATTTCCTGCCCTAATTGCAGGGACTGTGCACAGAATATCACACCCTGATAAGTTACATGGCAGAGAGACTCTGCAGATATAATTAAGTTACTAACCAGCAGACTCTAAATTAATCAAAGGGAGTCAGTCTATCCACTTATTCCTAATCTAAACCCATCAAAATCTAAGAGGGATTCAGTGAGCTACTTTGACTTGAATTTAAGGCGGGGTCATACGATAAGTAATTTAGTCAGCCTGAAAGCTGAAAGTGACCCCCAAGGACCTCAGTTTACAAAAGCAAGAAACTGGATTCTGCCAGCAATCTGAATGCACCTGGAAGCATCTTGCCCTGAGCCTCCAGAAAAAAAGCCCGGCCCTGGACAATGCCTTTATTTTGGCCCTATGAGGCCTTGGCTGAAGAACCAGCCAAGCCCACTCAGACTTCTGACTTTTAGAATTGTGAAGGGGATACTGTTTTAGCCACTAAGTTGGTAGGATTTTGTTACACAACAGTAGTAAATAAAGACTGATTTTGGTAGTTGGAAGTAAGATGCTGCCATAACAAACATTTATTTAAGTTCATTTTGAGATCATTAATATAACCCTCAAGGACCACATGACTGCATTTGGGACTCACTGATTGCTCTAAAGTGAGAACATTCCTTTCGTTTATATTATTTTTCTAAAATAGTATTGAATAGACTGCATCCCTGAATTCTGCAAATTAATTGTGTTCATATGAAAAAGAGGCCCAACCAGCAAATTCTGACTAATATGTAAACAAACATGAACTCTTTAATACTGTCCACCGTACACTTTGAGCTTGGTGCACTGTCCTGGCTTCAGGTGTCCCAGGAGCTGCAGGATGGTGTCCAAGAGCACCCGGCTGGAGTTAACCAGGAATTCACGGCCACTCGCTATGGCAGCGACATCTGCAACACAAAGACAAAACCAACTTCAAAATCTCTGTGATTTCAGACTCTAGAAGAGTTTCCCCATGACAGAGTATTCCTTGCTGTCTTCCCCCTAACAAAATAGTCAGTGAGGCATAAAAAAATGGTGGTGTCCTCAGAGTGACAGCCCAGAAAGAACTGACAACCGCAACAGTTATTCAGTGAGTAATGCACTTTGTGAATAGCAAACACCTTGATAGTGGAACAGAGCACTGGAACCTAAATATGACTGCAGCCAATCATAGGACAGCAAGTGGATGCCATGTTCCAGAACCCTGGTTAACAGCTGTGGGCACTCAGAGTCCAAACAGAAGATGGGACAATGGAGAACCAAGTTGGTAGCGTAGATAAATGCTGGTACTCACTGCCCCCAACAATCACATCAAAATTCCAACTAAAATACAGAACAACAATCATTCAGAACCACCTGAAATCTGCTGAATAGAAATCCTACAACTAGAGAAGTAAAGAAGGAAGTACATTGAGACTAATAGGAGGAGCGAAAGCACGGAACGGGCTGGTGTGGCGTTTTTTTCAATCTGCAGGGATATCTGGCTATAGAGGCCTCCTGTGGAGAGCAAGGGAGCCAGCCCCACACCAGACCCCTCTAGCCCAGAACTGGGAAGAGAATTCCATATAACTTCAGCTGTAAAAACCAGCGGGGATTGTGCTGAGTGAAACGGAGACTGCTATTGTCCCAGGGAGTTCCCCTTAAAAGTCCAGCACAAGAACTTACACAGTTCTGCTTTCTCTGAGCTCCAGCACTGAATGGCAGCTTTGGGAGATTCTGGGACATATGGGGAGGAAATGGATTGTCTGGCATTGGGGCAGGAATGTGGGCCAACTTTCTCCAAGATAGTTATGCTCACATGAGTCACTGTTCCTGTACTGGGACCTTCCCCACTGCAAAGCTGAGATTCCATCAACTTGGCCCACACTGTTGCTCCACCCTGGTGACTCCCTGCCCCATTAATTTATAGCCACACCCAAGCTGTTCACAGGGCTTTTCCATATGAATAGCCTGTTCCAGCTCAGGCTTCAGACCTTTATAAAATCTCTCAAGCAAGAGATGCAAATCAAAACAACAATGTGGTACCTGTCAGAATAGCCAACATCAACACTTGTCAGAATAGCCAATATCAACACCTGTCAGAATAGCCAACATCAACAAATCAACAAACAACAAGTGTTGGCGAGGTTGCGGAGAAAAAGGAACCCTCGTGCACTGCTGGTGGGAATGCAGACTGGTGCAACCACTGTGGAGAATAGTATGGAGTTTTCTCCAAAAACTGAAAATGGAACTCCCATTTGACCCAGTAATCCCACTCCTAGGAATATATCCCAAGAAACTAGAAACACCAATCAGAAAGGATATATGCACCCTATATTCATAGCAGCACAATCTACAATAGCTAGAATCTGGAAACAGCCTAGGTGCCCATCAGCAGATGATTGGATCCAAAAACTATGGTACATCTACACAATGGAATACTATGCTGCCATAAAAAAGAAGAAATTCTCATCATTTGCAGCAACCTGGATAGAACTAGAGAACATCATGCTGAGTGAAATAAGCCAGTCAATGAAAGAGAAATACCACATGACCTCACTCATTTATGAATTATAAAGAACATTATAAACTGATGAACCAAAAGATAGATATAGAGACAGTAAAGCAACAAGCAGACTGTCAAATTACAGCGGAGAGGGTAGGGAGATCTGGGGGAGATAACAGATCAACCAAAGGACTTGTATACATGCATATAAGTACAACCAATGAACACAAAACTCTGGGGAGGGAGGATATGTAGGGAGGGGCAATGTTAAAATATGTACACAGATAATAATTTAATTTAAAAAATTAAGTTACAAAATGTATTTTACAAAAGTTTTGTTAAAATATTTTTAAATTAAAAAAATAATAATAAAATAAAAATAAAATCTCTCAAACAAGCAGCAACTGGTATCAGTGTGCCCCAAACCTATCAATAAGAAGCTCAAGACCCAGCACCTGCACCAGCCCACCTTGCTTCACAACTGGGCCTTGCCTGGGCACTTCCAAGCCTAATACAAGTACTGGCAATCTGCAGATCACTCTGTAGCTCCTGTTGGTGGCTCCAAGCAGTGGCTGACTTTGCACTTCCAGGAGGCCCCAGAGCCAATGCACCCAGTGGACAGCATCAGATCATACCAAATTACAACACTACACATCCATGAGAAATATACTCAAGGGGCAGACAGTGAGCACCAAAGCCCCATTGAAGCAAGTCTTGCTTCATAGGGGTGTCTTTTGCACAGCAGCTCTCCCACTGTAGTTGCAAATGTTCCTCACAGGAATGATGATCATTGACACGAGAGTACTCTATTGACTTTGTGGAAAAATTACATCCATGAAAGATAAGCTGGATCTTAGTCATGTCCATAAATGATTAACAGTCAAAAAATAGTTTGTATTCTGAAATCACTATCTAATACTATTTGAATAAATAAACCCAGAATAAAAAGGCAAGGAGTTTAATTATAACTTTCAAGTGAACAAAAAGCAAAAGAAACAATTAGAAAAATGCCAGTTAGTATAACTCAGTGGTTGAGTGTCAACCCATGAACATGCCTATGTTGTGAGATCAATCCCTAGTAGGGGGTTTGCATGAGGCAGCCAACCAAAAATTCTCTCTCATCCTTGATGTTTCTCTCCCTCTCTCTCTCTCTCTCTCTCTCTCTCTCTCTCTCTCTCTCTCTCTCTCTCTCTCTCTCTCCTTCTGCCTCTTCCTTCCTCTCTCTAAAATAAATTTTTTAAAATTTTAAATATAACTTTTGCACTTGCATGGTAAGCAAGTTAATCTTTGCAGGACTCTGACAATTTACCATCTTCTTTTACATTCTTCATTTGTCCCCTTATACAAATTACTGAAAAGAAGCACATGCTTACGTTGAAGAGCAGCTTTGTTTACAAGGTGCTATCACCTCCATAGTTCAGTAAATATTTACAATAGCATGTAAGGTCATTAGAGCAGGTACTACTATTCCACTCCACATGAGGAACAAAAAACCCAGAGAATTTACAACCCGGGAAGTGGTTTAACTGAAAATCTAGGCAAATATACTAACCTGTTACTAAGGACAGTGACTATGGATGAGTAAGAAATCTAACAACTTCAATAAATCCTTGACTTCTAGTTTTTGCTTTAGGATACATTAAATTGGAAAAAGTTACACCTCGATTCTTTAAAAGGCAGGGGCAATCATTTGCAAAATCACAACTTTTCTTGACCACATCAGAGAGCTAAGGTCAGAGATCAACCAGCTAAAATGAGAAATAGGAAAAGGCAGGGGCTCATGAAGAGATATGAGGCAGACACTTGCTTTCCTGGGGCAGATGCTGGACATAGACAAATGAGCAAGAAAAATCCAGCTAAAAGTTTTAACAAAGTGCCAGATCAGCAGTTGCCTGGGGCTGATGGTAGATGGAATGGCTGATTACAAAAGGAAAAGGTGGGGACATATTGAGGAGATATATTGGAAGTTATAGAAGTGTTCCACATCTCAACTGTGGTGGTCACGTGACTATGTGCATTTGTCAAAACTTAGGAACTGTAAAAGGGTGAAGGAAAAAAGTATAAAGGTAAGTTTATTGTATGTAAATCTTTAAAAAAAAAAAAAAATCCTTGTTTTAGAAGGCAGAGGATCTATGTGATAGCTAACCAAGGTCTCTGCTGTACTGCCTTACTCCCTAAGAATAGTGTTCTCAGTGTTGGAGATGCATAAGCCACCAAAATAGCACTTTAATGAAATCATCATAGTATGTAATACTCTAGTAAAATTCATCAGTGTGGAAGCAAAAACACATATGTGTTCACTTTCCAACTCTTTTTTTTTAAATATGTTTTTATTGATTTCAGAGAGGAAGAGAGAGGGAGAGAGGGATAGCGTCATCAATGATAAAAGGGAATCATTGATTGGATGCCTCCAATGGGGATTGAGCCCACAAACATAGCATGTGCCCATGATCAGAATCGAACCCAGGACCCTTCAATCCACAGGCTAATGCTCTATCCATTGAGCCAAACGGCTAGGGCACACTTTCCAACTCTTTATGACAGTTCCTGTGAGTCACTCCAAGTAGGGAGAAACAAAGCCAAATTGAACTCATATGCTGGGCAACAGGCTGGCTCTGCCCACTGGCCAACTGCCTCACCACTACACACCAGCTGCAGCTCAAGCAGCTCAAATACATAACTCAGCAGAATGACAAATCACATAAGTCATAGACTTTTGGCGTCACTTGCAAATAACAAAAAATCTAGTCATCAAATTTACAAATGCCTTTTGTTAAAAAAAAATTTTTAATTTTTAAAAGGTACAGCAATGCAAGCCTCCTCCAGCAGAAGGTGTGAGGATGAGAGTGCATGCCTGCATCCTGCAGAGTAGAGTGCTGGATAAACCAGGATTAGCCTGGAGACCACAAGTCTCAACATCTCCCCAAAAGAAGGATCATAAGGAATTATGAAGGGACAATGACTACACAGGACCTGCCTCATTAGTATTTTAGTAGGTGAAGGATATTGCCGTGAGGAAAAATAAAATGTCCTCTCTCTTTAACAGCAAAGAATTACCCTAAGATACACAGCAGGAATGAAAGAGCAACATAAAAAATAAATCATAGCATCTATTTAACTATTTCATTGACTTTAGAGCAAAAAAGCCTTGATCCTCACTAGTATATACTACTCCTACAATATACTAAGAGATCAGTGATTGTTTGGCTTTATCTGTACAGCAGATTTGCCACAGAATTCTATCATAACTGTATAACTTTGGGGAGAACTTTACTAAAGAGACAGTTTAGGTTTTGCGGAATTTTTGATTATTGTACCACAACAACATCAATAGTTTAGGCTTTTACCTGACTAGACATTAATAAAGTGGCAATAACTCCAAATAATAAGCAACTCAATATAGTTTTGTTCTGACTTCAGTAAAGGCACAGGCTGAACATGAAAACTCATCTCATGCTTCCTAAGACTAGTCATGCTTACTCAATAATATCTTACTTACCAGAATGACCTGCGTGATGTGCCACAACCACACCCAGATCCACAGAACCAGAGTGAGAACTACATGGCATTTGAAAAAGTTCCTGAGAGATGTTTATGCTCAGATATCTGACTGTAAACACTGCTCTAGGACACGCTTAAAACTGTCACTGTGCTTAAAAGAATTACTTACTTGTCACAATCCCAGCCAAAGCAAAAACAAACTGATTTTCATCAGAATCGAGTTCCTTGACATCCCCATCCAGTGACTTCACAAAACTCTCCATTGTCTGACCAGTGATGTTGAAAAACTTCAAAGCTTTATCCTGCAAGTTTGGAAATGAGAGCATCACGCCCCTTCACTAATACCAGCATGAAAACATTTTTAAAGTGCAGGATACATAAGGAAAGACCCTGGTGTTACTTAAGAGGCAATATTTTAAAATCTTTTCCTCATTAAAAGTTTATATTGAAAAGATGAAGGGAAAAGGTTTTACTTTACTAGATATAAATAAAGGTATTAGAAAAATTACCTGAAGACTAATGGCAGTAGTAAAATAAAAGTACATATGGGAAACAGCTCAAAATTTATACAATGATGGAAGCACTGGGATGAATTCACCCAAAAATATATAGAAAATCATGTCCTGGGTTTTCAAACCTTTGGCAAACTGCTTTTCAGATAAAGCCTTAACTGAAATCTCAACATGTAAGAGAGATAAAGAAGCAGGTAGAAGAGGTTAATTGAGGTGGGTAGGTACCTATGTAATACTTTCAACAGTAAAGATTTAAGAAGAAAAATAACAGCATTTCCAGTTTACAGAGCCTTTGCAGCACTTCTCCGAGGACTTGTTTGAAAACCAGGCACAAGGGGGCTTCAAGGGTGAACACAAATGCTCTAAGACTGGGTGTGGTTATATGCAACTCTGGAAGTCAGCTAAACACCACCGAGTTGTACAGATGGGTGGACTTTACGGTATATAAATTACATCTCAATAAAACTCAATAAACTTTAAAAAAAAATGAAGTCTTTCCCCCAGAAAGGGAAATACAATTTTAATTTTTAGAAATGATGAGTTCATTACTGGCCTTCCGTCAAACATCTCCTTGTGACTTTTATTTCCATTCATGACATTCCATTTTCCCAAAATCACCTCAGTCTTCTTGGTTCCTTTCATTCTGTCAGCTGTGGAGTCCATGCTGTCATCACACTGGCCTTAGTCACAGGCTCTCCTTCCCTCCCATCTCCCCTACAGAGAGCCAGCTCACTCCAGCCTGAGCCACTGGAACTCTAAATTGTCTTCCTGTCCAGTCTGTAGACCCCAACCTGCCCCCTCAAATCCACACTCACTCTCTGTCAGGTTAACCTTCCCCAAACTCTTCCCTTATACCATCCTCTTTTAGTCAACGCTTAGGAATCCAGTCCTGCCACCTTGACTGCATCATCCACCTGCACTGATGGTCCTCCAAAACTACGCTCCACCCAACCCTATAAGCCTTCTCTCCCCACAACTTTACCACGCAGTCCTCCTCTCTGACCTATTCACTGTCTCTAAACAAACTTCAGACTTCGCCCTACACCTTTGATATACTGCTTCTCTCCTCGTGAGCCACCCTCCCCATTCTCTGCCAATACTGCCTATTCAAGTTAATCCACGCCGAGGCTGATCCCAAATCTCTCTTCCCTTGTGCAGTTCTTTCATGTGTTTACTATAAACATGTAAATGTTAAATCACATATAACATTCAAAATATTAAAAATTCATTACCCAATGGATAACATATGTAAAAGCACTTTTAACTTTGTCAAACATATACAAAAGCCAAGTAATAATACTAAAGTGCTCTATTGCCACAAATGCCACACAGCTTCTGGAATCTTACTGCATTAATTTCACATACCCCCAGAGCACCAGGTTACAGAGGACCCCACACCACTAGAATTCCAAAATTATTTGATGAGAGAAATAGATGTAAGCCATGCTGTACCCTCCTAGCCCATAAACATTAATCAAGAAGGTCCAGTTGGCCATGCTTACTCCTCCCAGAATGGCTTTGACGACCTCCTCACTGCTGGACACGCCCCAGAGCAGAGTGCAGGCTGCTGCCCCCATCTCTGTGCAATACTCTGCCTGCTGCAGGAGTTGCTGCTTCGCTTCATTCAGCTGCTGGCGAAGAGCCAGTTTCTCCTGAAATCAAAACAAAATCAGACAAATGAATGGCACTGAACTTTAAAATATCTCATGTTTTCTCTTTCAAATATATTTTAAAGAAAAAAAATGCACACAGATTATAGAAAACAGTTGGCAAATGAAAACTAGTCCTTAGAGAGCCATAACCCATATTTTTAAAATAAAATTTAGAAGCAAAATTAACAATCTTAGAAAAGAACATCCTATTGCATTAGAGTTTATAAATACCATCAAAGTCTAAAAGCTTTTCATCTAGGGGAGAAAGGGAACAGTGGGGCCACAAATTCATCTTCTTTAATCAAATGAAATCATTAGGCATCTCAGGACCAAAGTGTCTATACCCAGGATCAGCACCAACTGGGACATCTGAACAAAGTGACAACTTCACACAGCAGTCCACAAATAGAGCAACATTTTTAAAATATATTTTTATTGATTTCAGAGAGGTCAAGATACCACCTCACACATGTTATCAGCAAGGCAAGTCATAAGTGTTGTAGAGGTTGTGGAGAAAAGGGAACCCTTATTTACTGCTGGTGGGAATGTATACTGTGGTTTCCATAGTAATTTACAACCACTATGGAAAAGAGTCTGGCCATTCCTCAAAAAAATTAAGAATAGAGCTACCATATGACCCTGCAATCTTTCTCCTGGATATATACCTGAAAACCTTGAAAACATGTATTTAAAAAGCTATATGCACCCCATGTTCACTGCAGCATTATTCACAGTGGCCAAGACATGGAAACAACCAAAGTATCCTGCAGTAGAGGACTGCATAAAGAAGATATAGTAGATCCTATCTAATAAAGACAGGATATGCAAATTGTCACTCCTGGCAAAGATGGTGGCGCCCACAGCCAATAAGGAGGGAATATGCAAATTGATGCGACAAAGATGGCAGTGGCTAGGCCAGGATGCTTACAATGGACATAGGTGTTCTGCTCCATCCTGGCCCCTCCAGGCCTCTGGGCAGTGTGCACACACAGGCGCGGAGCATCTGGGATGGGGCGGGACACCTGCTAAGAGGGGGGATAAAGGGGAGTAAAGGGATCTACAGAAGGGTGGCAGGACCGGAGCAAAGGCAGAAGACGGGGGCAGAGTGAAGGCCCAGATCCCAGGTGCCGAAGGGAAGCTGGTGCCAGCAGCCAGGGGAAGGAAGGCCTAATCTTAAAAGAATCTTCCTGCATTGGGCCTCTAGTATATACAATGAAATACTATTCAGCCATAAGAAACGATGAAATATTGCCATTTGCAACAACATAGATGAACAGAGAGACTATTATGCTAAGTAAAATAAGTCAATCAGAAAAAGCTGCCCTAACTGGTTTGGCTCAGTGGATAGAGCTTCAGCCTGTGGACTGAAAGATCCCAGGTTCAATTCCGGTCAAGGACATGTACCTTGGTTTTAGGCACATCCTCAGTAGGAGGTATGCAGGAGGCAGCTGATTAATGTTTCTCTCTTGTCAATGTTTCTAACTCTCTATCCCTCTCCCTTCCTCTCTGTAAAAAATCAATAAAATATATCTTTTTTTAAAAAGAAAAAGCTAAGAACCATATGATTTCAGTCATATGTGGGATATGAAACTGAAACTCATGGACACAGACAGCAGTGTGGTGGTTGCCAGAGGAAAGGATGTGGGGGGCAAAGGGAGCCCTGATATATGGTGACAGGGGAAGATTTGACTTTGAGGCATGGGCAGACAGTGCAATATACAGATCTTGTAACATAGGAACCCATACCTGAAACCTGTATGATCATACTAACCAATGTCACCCCAATAAATTTAATAAAAATAATAAAAGAAAAATAAAAGAAAATCCTAGGCCCTTAAGAATATGCTAAATTGATTCTGCCAGTGCTTTATAAATGGAACAAAGGATGGGTGACAGCACATCTATTTGCAGTATGGTTTATTGAATATTTTAAGCTCACTGTTGAGGCCTACTGCTTAGAAAAAAAGATTCCTTTCAAAATATTACTGCTCAGTGACAGTGCTTCTGGTAACCCATGAGCTCTAATGGGGATGAACAATGAGATTAATGTTATTTTCATGCCTGCTAACACAACAGCCATTCTATAGCCCATGGATCAAGGAGTAATTTAGACTTTCAAGCCTTATAATTTAATAAACATGTTCCATAAGGCTCTAGCTATTATCGATAGAGATTCCTGTCAAAAGAGATGTATTTGGGCAAAATAAATTGAAAACCTTCTGGAAAGGATTCACCATTCTAGATACCATTAAGGACATGCATGATTCACTGGAAGAGATCCAAGTATAAACATGAATGGAAATTTGGAAATTGATTCCAACCCTCATTGATGACTTTGGGGGGTTCAAGGCTTCTATGGGGGAAGTAATTGCAGATATGGTGGAAATAGCAAGAGAACTAGAATTAGATCCTAAAGATATGACTGAATTGCTACAATTTGATGATAAACCTTTAACAAATGAGGATTTGCTTCTTATAGGAGAGGGAAAAAATGGTTTATTGAGATGAAATCCACTTCTGGTAAAGATGTGAAGACTGCAGAAATGTCAACAAAAGATTTTAATAGTTCATAAGGCAGTAGCGGGGTTTGAAAGAATTGACTTCAATTTCGAGAGAAGTTCTACTGTGGGTAAATGCTATCAAACAACACCATATACTATAGGGAAATCATTTGTGAAAGGAAGAGTGAATCAATGCAGCAAACTTCATTGTTGACTCATTTTGAGAAATAGTCACAAACACCCTGATAAGTCAGAAGCTGAGTTAAAAAGCCCCTCTACCAGCAAAAAGATTATAATTTATCCAAAAGTTTAGATGGATGAGAGTTACATTTTTTAGCAATGAAGTATTTTTAGTTAAGGTACAAAGATATTTTAGATGCAATGCTACTTATTGCATACTTAATAGATTATAGTATGGTGTCAACTTTTATATGCACTGGGAAACCAAAATATTTATGTAACTGGCTTTATTGCAGTGGTCTGGAATGAAACCCAAATATCTCCAAGGTAACCCGTAAATGTAGATATACCATATTCATGGACTGGAAGACTTGAGATTGGTAAATTGGTAATTCCCCCCAAATTTACAAATTCAACACAATCCCTATCAAAATTTTAGGTTGTTTTTTTTTTTTTTTTTTTTACAAGTTGATAATCTGAGTCCAAAATTAATATGGAAATGCAAAAAAAAAAAAAAAAAGTTTGAAAAAGAAAAACCATTAGAGGACTAGCACCGATTTAAAAACAGAAACTTATCATAAAGCTATAAAAATCAAACCAGTGTGGTATTGGCATAAGAATGAACACAGATCAGTGAAACACTGACATTTATTACAATCAACTTTAACAAAGATGCCAAGGCAATTCAATGGAAAAATTATTGCCTTTTCAAAAAATGGTGCTAAAACAACTAGATATTCGTATGTAAAAAAAAAAATTATTTGTGATAAAACTACCTAGAACTATGGGTGTACATACAAATGAGTGCATACAAAATTGATGAAATACAAACAAGTCCAGGTAATGCTGATGAAACCTACATAAACTCTGAGGATTATATCAATGTCAATTTCCTGGCTCTCACTTTGTCCTGTAGTTATGCAAAATGTTACCACTGGAGGGAACTATGTGAAGGTATAGCGGACTTCCCTGGACTTTTTGCAACGTCCTATGAATCTGTAATTATTTCAAAATAATTCTTTGAGAAAAAAAAACTGGATTGGGGTGATAGTTTTACAACTGCAGAAATTTACTAAAAATCAGCAAACTATACTTGTATAACAGATGAATTTTGTGATATATAAAATAATCAATAAAGCTGTTTTTAAAATAAGCAATAATCAAACCCTGATATATTATACCTACTTAAGGTGAGTACTGATATATAATAGGATATCAAATACAATACTTTCTAGACTCCTTCGAAATCTGTAGTTATCTCTGAAAATAACTGAACTATACCTTCAGATTTTCTTTTAAAAGTTTTCTGAAATAATGTACAAAGTTTGCAACAAGTTCCCTTTTACTACCATAAAAGTAGTAACTCTTTCCTACCAAATTAAAAATGTAAATAACAAAAAATTGGCAGTACATACTTAAATTAGTGTTCTGACGGTGAAAGGTGCATGCCAGAAGCAAGCCACACACAGAGGACAAAACAGTAGGTAAACCACTGAAAGGCTGGCTCCTCAAGAACACAGGGAACTGTATATTGTCTGTGATCACTTCACACAGAAAAGCCAGCCAGGCACTAAAAAAGGGCCGCCAGCAGGTGGAAAGCCTCCTCTAACCTTACAGTGACAGCACAGTCCTTCAAAAAGTCATCCAGCTACCCTATGACAGTTTCACCGACACCATAAACGCTGGGCTCTTTCTTTCCTAGAGTTCAAAGGCTGCTTTGCTAGGACTCTCTGGGCCAATCTCATAGATCACATCGAGGCCCAGCTGGCTTCCTCCACTGATCTGACTCAATCACCACTAAGGAAACATCTCAACTGAGGTCAGGAACCAAGTTTCCCTTGTTCCAGTCAGCAGTCTAGGGCAGCTGGGTGCTGCTGCTTTATGAATTTGATTCCATTCTTTATCTGATCTCTTCTTTCATACTGGAATCAGTAACTTCCACCTTTCCCTAACGACTTTAACCCACACTGGAGTACTTACAAGCAATACTCTAACTTAGGATCTAGTCTCTGGATTCTTTCCTGGTTCCTCAACTCTAAGGTAAGCTTCCAGAGTCTGGCACATGATCGGTGTAGACCTGAACAGAGACTACAGAAAAGACAGCTGACAGTTCTCCACAGCAAGGAGACATGGTCATGTTACACAAACTTGTATCACACTCGGGGGACTACTAAACAGCAAACTTCTCTGGAAACAGTTTATTTTTTTTTTTTTTTAAATGGAGTGTTGTTCTTTTTTTTTTTTTTTTAATATATTTTATTGATATTTTACAGAGAGGAGGAAGGGAGAGAGATACAGAGAAACATTGACCAGATGCCTCTTGCACACCCCCTACCGGGATGTGCCTGCAACCAATGTTCATGCCCTTGACCGGAATCGAACCTGGGACCCCTCAGTCCACAGACCGACGCTCTACCACTGAGCCAAACCAGTTTCGGCTCTGGAAACAGTTTAACCCAGTGGTCGTCGGCAAACTGCAGCTCTGTTGACTAATGAGTTTGCCAACCACTGTGTAAGGCATTACCCTTACCCAGAAGTTTTGACTTCAGGTTAAAGACATTAGTACATTATTAAAATGGTTTTTAAGTGTTTTTCCCTAAGCAGTGGTCGACAAATTCATGAGTCAACTCATGTAAATTCATGAGTCAACAGTTGTAAATTCGCGGCTCTCGAGCCAGTTTGCCGACCACTGGTTTAACCTAAAATGTAGTCCCACTTCTGCACTGGCCAATGTTTCTCAGTGGTTAAAGCATCAGCCTGAATAAATACCGTAGAGTAATGGGTTTGAATCCGGCTCAAGGGCACACACTTAGGTTGCAGATTCCATCCCCGTCTGGTTGGGGCATGTGTAGGGAGCATATGGGAGGCAACCAATCGATGTGTTCCTCATATTAATGTTTCTCTTTATTCTCTCCTTCCCTTCCTCCCTTCCACTCTCTCTCTCAAAAAAAAAAAAAATCAATTGAAAAAAGGATTAACAAATAAATAAATAATAAAATAAAATATTCCCACTTTAACTAAGATCAATGTGAAGGCAACAACACGCTGGTGATGTGAAGCTGCTTTACCAAGCCTTTCATTCTCTATATTGGCACTAGCAGAATTGTTTATTTTTAAGCATTACAGCTAACATGCCAGCAAAACATGCATTTTTCCTATGCTTTCAACTTTAAAAAAAAAAATAAACACAGGATATCTAAGATTCTGTTCCAAAGTAAGCTTCAACAAGGATGTCTCAGCAATTTAAGAAGGGACTGAACCAATGAATTGCATTGTTAACATTGATCAAATTCCTTCTTGCCTATTGGTCATCTTCTTTCCAACCACAATACTTTAGGCCGAGACATTGCCATTTTAGTTTATCATGATCTAAGCAGAATACAGCAAACCTAAAATTTATTATATGATGTTGCACCTAAGTCAGTTTTGAGACTAAACCTTTTCCCCTAACTTTTTCTACTTGCTCAATCTATGAAAATTCCCCTCGTTTTGGAAAATCTCTTTGCAGTCACATTCAGAATTCCTTCACATGAGAAAACAGTGTGAAACAAACTTTATACATAGGGAGGGGGACTTTCCTGTAAGTTAGTAGTAGCTGCTGCCCCAGCTGTGCTGGGAGAAGCAAGTGAGATGCATGGACAACCGCTGACCACCTACCAGAATGCAGTAAATAATACACATAACTAGTTAATACTAGTACAATTATTGTTTTACTATTCAAAAATAAAAATATATTCAAGCTCAGCCAGCATGGCTCAGTGATTGAGCATCAACCTATGAACCAGGAGAAGTCATGATTAATTCCTGGTCAGGGCACATGCCCAAGTTGCAGGCCCAATCCCCAGTGTGGGACATGCAGGAGGCAGACAAGCAATGATTCTCTCTCTTCATTTATATTTCCATCTTTCTCTCCCTCTCCTCTCTGAAATCAATAAAAATACATGTTAAAAACACAATATTCAAGCTCCAATTTTTACCAGAAGGGGCAGAATAGTTCATTTTACAGAAGAAGGAATTTTTTCAATTCCAAAAGTAAAAATTAATGTGTAATTTTCAAGAAATATTATTAGTCTCCCCTAATCCATAATAATAAAAGCATAATATGCTAATTAGACCTGACAGCTGAATGACCTTCTGGATGTCATTCCGAACATCCTTTCAGATGAAGCCCGTGGTGGGGGGGGCCAAGGCAGAGGTAGTTAGAGGCAATCAGGCAGGCAGGCAAACAGTTAGGGGCAATCAGGCAGGCAAGCAGAGTGGTTAGGGATGGTCAGGCAGGCATGCAGGTGAACAGTTAGGGGCAATGAAGCAACCAGGCAAAGGGATTAGGAGCAATCAGGCAGGCAGAGTGATTAAGGGCAATCAGGCAGGCAGGCAGGTGAGTGGTTAGGAGCTAGCAGTCCTGGATTGCAAGAGGGATGTCAAACTATGGGATTGGGCCTAAAACAGCAGTTGGACATCCCCCAAAGGGTCCCAGATTACAAGAGGGTGCAGGGACACTCCCCCCCCAATCCTGTGCACAAATTTTGTGCACCGGGTCTCTAGTATTAAATAAAGTTGGTTATTTTTAAATATCAATAAATGATCCCCTAAATTAATTACAAATATTTCTGATTTAATACATCAACTCTGATTATAAATTATGTGTACAATATTTTTATTCTATACTTTTACTATGAATTTTTATGTTTTGGAATGGCCTTTTAAACATAAAAATTAACAGTGACTATTAAAAAACACCAAGTAAATAATCTCCACAATAAATGGTTATAAAATCCAAATGTTCATCTATTTTCCAACCCATTCAAAATACATACACTTAAAAATATAATCTCCTGAGGCTTAAAGGCTAGAAAGACAAGTCACCAACACCACTGAGTGGACACAGCCACAGTGCTGGTGTTTTAAGCAGCGGTCAATGAGCATCATACCTTCTTCTCTTTCATGCTGTCGGCTTGCACAGTCTCCAGGCGTGCTTTAAAGTGCTCACAGTCCATTCTCAGTTGCTCTAATTCTTGCTCCTTCCTTTCTAGGTCTACAAGAAATAGACATAAATACACAGTATTTCAAATCACTAATCTCTCTTAAGCATCCATTTTACCTGATCTCTTAGAAAAATCTATACTGATTTCTTAGGTAATATATGCATAACCAGTCCTTGAATAATCAATATTCTAAAAGTCCTGCTTTCTTTTAAAATATATTTTATTGATTTTTTACAGAGAGGAAGAGAGAGGGATAGAGAGTTAGAAACATCAATAAGAGAGAATCATCCATCAGCTGCCTCTTGCACACCTCCTACTGGGGATGTGCCCGCAACCAAGGTACATGCCCTTGACCGGAATCGAACCCAGGACCCTTCAGTCTGCAGGCTGACGCTCTATCCACTGAGCCAAATCGGTTTCAACTAAAAGTCCTGCTTTTTATTTAATTTTTTAAATATATTTTATTGATTTTTCTTTACAGAGAGAGAGAGTAAGAAACATCAATCAGCTGCCTCCTGCACACTTCCCACGGGAATGTGCCCACAACCAAGGCACTTGCCCTTGACCGGAATCAAATCTGGGATCCCTCAGTCCGCAGGCGACACTCCATCCACTGAGCCAAATCGGTTTCTGCCCTGCTTTTTATGTTTGCCAGTTGTTAGCCCATAGTAAAAAGCACTTTTTTTTTTAATTTTCTGTTTATAAGACCTCACTTTACCGCCAAACTTGTACTCAGAATCTAAGAAAGTGTATATTTAAAGGACTGGAGGCAAGGCTGAGAAGCCCGACTGTCTCATGGCACAAACTTGTATCTGTTCCAGAAAAAGCAGAAGGCAGCTCAGTGGTAGACAGTGCCAGCCGGGGCTGATTCACAAAACTGGTCTCAACAACGGGCAGAGTGACTCAGGAAGACAGCTGCAGTGGTAGTCAATGGAGGAGTGGGAATACGGTGATGAGGACGAGAAAAGGCCATAGTGAAAGGTGGCGACTATGGAATACTTCGTCTACCCCATATTCATTTCGATGATTCAAATGGCCAACAAAAGTCCCAAAAGACATCCACGTTAATAAATTTGAAATCAAAAGTATTATCACTTTAAATAGAAAGTTTTATGGGGCAGAAATACTGGCATTCAAAAATCAAAAAAATATGTAATTTAAAGATATTTTTATTGATTTCAGAGAGGAAGAGAGGAGAGAAAGATAGAAACATCAATGATGAGAGAGAATCATCGATTGGCTGCCTCCTGCACACCCACTATTGGGGATCAAGTCCACAATTCAGGCATGTGCCCTTAGCAGGAACCAAACCCAGGACATTTTAGTCCACAGGTCGATGCTCTATCCACTGAGCCAAACAGGCCAGGGACATAACTTAAATTTTTAACTGCCTAGATTTCAAGGACTGAGAAGTCACCAATTTTTATACTGACATGTACCAAAATTGGGAAGGCATCTGTGCTCAGAGCTAATGGTATCACTTCTCTGATTAAAGTAGCGATAGCTAAGGGCAGTGATGCTCAGACTTGAGGGGACTCCTTCTAACAGGATGCTGATTCAATAGGATTGAATTGGGCCTGATACACTGCATTTCTTACAGATGAGGCTGGTGCTGCTGGTCTGGGAACAGACTTTGAGGACAACTGCTTTGGGACAAGAGCCTGGTCTGTCATCACTAACCAAATGAAATCAACACAACCAATGACAACCGAGGGAAGCCAGATGTAAGAATACTAAGGGTGGTGAAAGAGTCTCAGGAGCAGACCCCTGAAAAATGGAACATTATTCCACCAGAGAGGAGAAATGTGGCCTCCAGACACTTCCTCCAATGAGAGCAGATGAAAGAGAAGGGGTGTGGCTTCTCAGGGAGAAGGCTAGGGGAGGTCCAAACAAGAAGCTCAGGGGTCCTGCCAAGAATAACACGGCATCCCAAAAGCTCTGGAGAGTCTACATTTCCGAGACCCTTTACCCTGGAAGGAAGATTAAAACCTAAAGTTAAATATTCAGACAGAGATTATGAAATTGGCTGGCAAAACTTCTTTTAAAACATGTTTCTTATAAACTAAGATGAAGTAACATGAGACTATTTCTTCTCACTTAAATCAGTTTCTTTTCTGTCCTTTTAGGATGTATGACAGTATGCCCCAATATGACTTTCACTGAGATTCTTTCTTTTGTCCCATAATCTGACCACACAAGAAAACAACTATTAATCAAGTGCTATATTTGAAAAACTGCATGGTTGCCAAAACCGGTTTGGCTCAGTGGATAGAGCATCGGCTTGGGGACTGAAAGGTCCCGGATTCGATTCCGGTCAAGGGCATGTACCTTGGTTGCGGGCACATCCCCAGTAGGGAGTGTGCAAGAGGCAGCTGATCGATGATTTTCTCTCATCTATGTTTCTCTCTATCTCTCTCTCTTCCTCTCTGTATAAAAAAAAATCAATAAAATATTTTTTTTAAAAAAGAAAAACTGCATGGTTGACTTTTGTAACAATGCTAAATAAAAACATATATGAGTATGTATTACTTATAATTATGTATGAAATACAAACTGGTCACAGGCAAGGAAACAAAATGAAAGGAAGTAAGATAAAATTGATAGCATTAATTTTTTGCATTAATCTTTAAATGTTTCTTCTATTATTAAACTGTATATTACTCAAACATGGTAATGAAAATAGGAAACTGCAACTCTAAGAGACATATGTGTAAAAATCTGTAGAAATTAATTTAACCACCCAAAAGACTTTCATTATGGTAATTTCCTAATCTCTCACTCTGTACACCATCTCACTAAAAGGTAACATGACTACGGATCAGGTTAAATACATCCTATTCTACCATAGACCACCCCAAGAACTCAGTCAGTGTCAGGGATGCCGCACCCCCCCCTGCAGGCTCTCTGGGAGGAAGCAGTGCCTTTCTGCAGTCTGAGGCCACCGCCTTGTGGCCAGATGGGAGCACTGCCGCTGCCGCGCCTCCTGGCAAGACTCCCAACCGTGCCCTTCCTTTTTTTATTTTATTTGCTTGACAAGAAATTTTTTCTCTCACAGTTCTAGAGGTTACAATTCTGAGATCAAGGTGTCAATAGAGTTGGTTCCTACTGAGAGCTGCAAAGACCTCTATACTTGGTTCATCTTCTTTTGGCCTACTCACATCATCTTTCCTCTATACGTATTCCTGTGCCAAAATCCCTCCTTTTTATAAAAACATACTTCATATGTTGAATTAGAGTTGATCCTAACTATCTCACTTTAACTCTATTATCTCTGTAAAGACCTTGTCTCCCAATAAGGTCACATTCTGAGATATTGGAGGTTAGAACTCAACATAAGAATTTGAACCACCTTGCATTTTCAACTTGGCCCATAGCGTGCCTGCCATCTAAAACACCTCAAGGACACAGATGTTCATGTTTTTGGGTTTTTTTTTCTAATACATCCCAAGTGGCTACAACAGTATATGGCATATAGTAGGCACTTTACAAATATTTGTCGCAAAAATAAAGTTCATTTCTTTATACATTCCTTCTGCTAATCCTTGAATACAAAACATGATGATTTTAATTATATTTCTCATTCTTCTGTTATAAGAATATTTTTTAATCATAGACAGAAATAATATGAACAGTAAATGATATACTAATGGAGACATTATCTTAGCCTCAATATTAGAACAGGGAAGGGGCTGCCACTAAACCTATACTGTATTTCAACAGTTAACTTTTAGCATTCAAAATGAAGGCGAAATCTCCATTTAATTGTTAATTGAATGAAAGATGGCCTAGACAAACTACAACAATATTTATATAGAAACAATCTAAATCACAGGCCGTTTCAACACCGATATACCTTCTGAACTTTATAATCCTTTTTGTAGTTTTAATAACATAAGAATGACTATTTCTTAATGCTCAACTGATTCACAGGAAATGAATAGATAACTATAAATGAAAATATTAATCAAAGAAATTTAAACTATACAAAAACGATCAATTTCTCCTACCCCCTTTTTTTTGTATCACCTGGCATAGTTATAAATTTACCAGTTGTTCATATTATGAAAATTTGTTTCCATCCAAATAACTATGGAGTCTCAAATCCAAAAATAAAGCCATTAACTTTTATCTTCTTATCACGTTCTAACAGGTTTAGAAAAGAATCTAGAATTAGCTACTGATGGATTCATCTTTAGATGAGCTGAGATTTGGAGGATGTTGTTTGTTTCCAGCACAAAGTATAGGATCCCCGGCTATTCAAAAGTAGAGCTATTTCTATGAAACCATCATAAGCCAAAATGGCATAAAGTGAACAAAAAATTACCTGAGGAAACATCTTGCAAATAGATGCACAAAATAAATTGACATAAAGCCTAGAGGCTAATAGATACAGTTGAAAGTTCTGGCAGCTTGATGCTGAGATGCTAAGTGTGGTTCCCAGCAATGGGGGGAAAAATGAGGGACATCAGTAATATTCTCAACAATATTTAAAAATTTTTTAATTAATAAATAACAAGATTCTCCAGTTTAAAATAAATTATCAACACCCACTGAGGCAGTATGAACTCCCTCACTGCTGAACGAATATGCCCAAGAAGGGTGAGAGAAAATGTGGGGTGAGCTAACTTTCATACCTCAGGACTGCAATTCACACTCAGGTTAGTCCTATTCCCAACCTCCCTACACCTTTTCCAAATTCATGGGGCATCAGTGTTTGAACCAGAATGGAAGTCCTGGGCCAGGAACAGAATGACACCAAGTGTTTAGCGATCTTTCCACCTGAGGAGGTCCCCTTTATGCACCCCTGAGCCATGCATTGTGCCAAGCACCTTCCATGGAGGGTCCCACTTTAACACTTACCACTTCCTGTGAGATAAGCCTCACTGTCCTCGTTTCATAGACAGGGAAATACCAGGTACATCCGTTAGACGCATCTCTGTATTTCCATTGCTGAGCTCTGCCCTTACTTCCTTACCAAGACCAATCACTTCTTCATATCTCCCTCCAACTCTGTCCAGGTAGCCATAGTCCCAAACCTTCCACAGTGAGC